TGTTTAAAATATACATTCTGTGTTAGTTCACTTGGGCTTCCATAAGAGGATATTAGAGACTGGTGGATTAAACAATAGACATTTATTTTAAGTTCTGGAGATTAGAAGTCCAAGCTCAAGGTGCCAGCCACATTGGTCTTTGGTGAGGCCTCACTTCCTGGTTTGCAGATGGCTGCCTTCTTGCTATGTCCTCACATGACCTTTTCTCTGTGTAGGGCACACACTCCATGTTTCTTCCTCTTCTTATAAGGACATCAGTCCTATTGGATTAGGGTCCCGTCCTTATGACCTCATTTAGCTTCAACTACCTCCTTGTTAAATCAAGTTTAGCCTGAAGCTGGCTCCTTACATATTTTAAGTTCGGCATAAAGGTTTTCTTGTATGTCGTGAACTATATATAATAAGTGGAGGTGTAAACAAACCATAGCCTACACTTGTGCCAATCACTGAGTTTTGGCCAATCAAATGTAGCCAACTGATGTAATCATGTTGAAATAAAGGAAAAACTAAACTGTAACCTATCCAGCTGTTTCCATTTTCTGCACGTCACTTTCCTTTGTCTGTCCATAAATCTTCTCCCACCAGGTGGCTGCGCTGGAGTCTGTGAGTCTGCTGTGGCTCAGAAGGCTGCCTGATTTGTGAATCATTCATTGCTCAATTAAACTTCTTTAAATTTAATTTGGCTGAAGTTTTTTCCTTTATCATCCTTAAAGGCTCTACCTCCAAATATAGTCACATTGGCATTGGGACTTCAATTTGGGGGCACACAATTCAGTCCACAGCATGTTTCATATTCATCAAGGAAAGGTAGGAGGCCAGTCATGGCGGCTCACATCTCTAATCCTAGCACCTTGGGAGGTTGAGGTGGACAGATTGCTTGAGCTCAAGAGTTAGAGACTAGCGGGGGCAACGTGGTAAAACTGCATCTCTACGAAAAATTAGTTGGGTGTGGTGGCGTGTGCCTGTAGTCCCAACTACTGGAGAAGCTGAGATAGGAGGAGGCAGAGGTTGCAGTGAGCTGAGGTAGGAGGAGGCAGAGGTTGCAGTGAGCTGAGCCTGGAGGCAGAGGTTGCAGTGAGCCGAGATTGTGCCACCACACTCCAACTTAGAAAGAAAGAAAGGAAAATGAAAGAAAGAAAGAAAGAGAGGTGGAGAAAAGGAGGAAAGAAAGAGAGAGAGAGGGAGAAAAGGAGTAAAGAAAGAAAGAAAGAGTGAAAGAAAAAAGAAAGGCAACAGTGTCTTAATATTGATTACCCTGAACCTGAGTAATGGAAATATACATCTTTTAATTTTATGGTTTTTCTTGTCCTCTTCCCTCTTCCTTCCTTGTTTTTTGTTTTGTTTTCATAATCATTATGTTTTATAGCAGGGGGAGAAGGGTAAAGAAATGGGAAAAATGAGTCAACACTCAGTTTCATAGATGTGGGGAAAATCATGAAAATTAAAATCATAAAACTGGAATTTGAGTTACATTATTTTGGTTAAAAAGGGTATGTAATCTTACGCTTCAGTTTCCAGAAGTGCAACAAAGGGATGAAAAGAATATTCATCTCATGAAATCACTGTGAGAAATAAACTAGATGATATATATGAAAATTATTTTGCAACCTGAACACTAGTTTTAGTTTTTTTTTCTAAACTTCATTCATTTTAAAGACATTTGGAGACCATTTCCTCTGGGCATAAATGCCTTCTACCTGGGATGGGGATCTATATTTATATCTATAGTTATACCAATTTTGATACCATTTAGATCTGTATCTAAGTCTAAGCTTTGATTTCTGAGAGTTTGCAGCTCACTAGAGGTACAGAATAACAATCAGGACCATGTTAAGGAAAAGAGATAGGGCTGGGAGGTGGCAATACAAAATCAAGGAGAAGAGGAGAGGCAGAAAAGGGAAAATGTGAAATAAAAAGCCAGCCAACTAGTTATACAAAATATGAGCAGAACTTCAGGCATGTATTGTATAATGTTCACATGTTAATTTTATGTTCAATTATTAGCCTCTTTGCTTTTCCAGACCAAGTCTTCCCTTTCTGACAGGGCCATCAATTACAAAGACATGACTTGTTAACATCAGAGATAAGTACATGACTGGCTGACCAATCAGAAAACCTTATCCCCTGGGAGATGGTAATTGGTTCAGAGGTGATCAAGTGACACTAGCGGGGCTAGAGACTTTTTGCAGCACTTTTAAACAAGAGTTCACCTTAACCACTCCTTCTGAAATCATAAAAATTAAAAATATAGTGAATTAATGATTATGCAAACTAGGACACTTTTGAGAGTGAAAGAGGTTGCTATCCATACACATGTTGAAATGACAGATGTAAACTGGACCTATCTTGGACAAACTGTGATATGTGGTCACCCTAATTAAGGACTGTGCAAATCCAGAACTACTCAGAACTATCATGTAGAGAGTACATGCCTGCAAATGACACCAGGAGAAAGCAATGAGAGAGAGCCAGAGAAAGAGTGCTGGTGACTTGTTTGTACATGATGTCTGATGCTGCCCACTTACGGAATTTTCTATTTATAGGAGGCAACACATTTCACTTTTGCTTAAGAAGGATCTTGCAGAAAGTGAAGAAGAGCAGGAAGGGAGAAGGCATTTGAATGTAGACTGATGTTCTCCTTTGGCCTGAGGATTTAGGACACATTCACTGCCTGATCACTGTGGCCCAGAAGCCACAGCCACTGCTGAGAGATAGAGGCCCCATGTTCCCTGTACATATCTTCCCCAAACCCTTTCTGAGGCTCCTATGTTCACAGAAACAGGCCTGGTCCTCAAAAGGATAGCTTTCTACCATACAAAAGAAAGTTTTTTCGTTTTGAGCAAGACATCCCTTTTGATTTTCCTACCTTTGACACGTACTAGGCTAATTAACAAATTCTAGAGGGAGAGACACTTCCAAACATCTCTTAATGTTCTGGCTTCACAAAGGTTAGAAAAGCTGTTATGGAGAGGATGGAGCCTTTCTCCTCTTCCTGGGAAAGTCTGAAGAAGAAAGGGGTTACTGAGAAGTCTAGTGGATTCAGCAGCTAATACATATTGTGTTTAAATAGGCATCTTTTGTTAACCTGAGGTAGGGAGGGTGTGTTAGGCCATGCTTTCCTGCTATGGAGAAATATCTGAGACTGGGTAATTTATAAAGAAAAGAGGTTTGATTGGCTCACGGTTCTGCAGGCTGCACAGGAAGCATAATGACATCTGCTTCTGGGGAGGCCTCTGGAAGCTTCCAATGATGGTGGAAGGCGGAGAGGGAACTTGCACATCACATGGCAAAAGCAAGAGGAAGAGAGAGGTGGGGAGGTGCCACACACTTTTAAAAGACCAGATCTCATGAAAACGCACTCACTATTGTGAGGACAGCACCAAGAGGATGGTGCTAAACTATTCATGAGAAATCCTCCCCCATGATCCAGTCACCTCCCACCAGGCCCCACCTCCAACACTGGGGATTACATTTCTACATGAGATTTGGGTGGAAACACATCCAAACTATATCAGGTGGGTAGGTGGGTGAGGGGGTTGGCCATCTTTTCAGATCTAAAGAAAGTCAGCAAATCTCCCAAGAAAAAAACTCACATGACTGGCTGTTATATCTTGCAGCCCAGCTCAGGGAGTTCTTAAACTAATAAGGATCTATGAGCTCCCAGATTTATGGGCTTTGAAATAGACTTTGTAAGTACACAAAACCAAAGTTCTTTATTAGAGTTGACACATTTATTTTCTTCATTCATTCTTCCTTTTGTGATGTTTTATTTTCTTATTTCTCTTTATTTATATGGAATACTTATCTCTCTTTCACTTTCATCCCACTACAAACATCATCTATTCTTTCTCTTTAAGACTTTCTTTTTGGAAATAATTTCAGCTACATGAAAGGATTGAAAGACAAAGTACAAAGAATTATATACCCTCCGCTGAGCTTCCCTAGATGCTCCACTAACATTTTCCCACATTTGCTTTATGCTCTCTATCTCTTGCTATCAAACTTTCTCTCTCCATCTCTCTCAAATGCTGTCTCCTTCTCCATAAATATAAATTTATTTTCTGAGCTGTTTGGAAATAAGTTGTAGACAAGATACCCCTTAACCTCTAAATCGTTAATCATAAAAATAAAGATATTTTCTTTCACAACCACAGTAACATTCTTACAATTCAAAAATTAGCATTGAAACACTATTATCTAATTTGCAGAGAAAATGTACAGCAAATTTAATTTTTCTCAACCAGGATCTAATCCCAGATCACACCTTGTATTTAGTTTTCCTGTCTCTTTAGACTCCCATAATCTGGAATATTTCCTCCATTTTTCCTTGTCTTTAATGAGCTTGACATTTCTGAAGAGTACCAGCCAATTACTTTGTAGGATATTCCTCATTTAGGGTTTATCCTTCAGTATGGGCTTCCTCATGATCAGACTCCAGTAACACATTTTAGGCAGGAACAACCCGAAAGTGATGTGTGTCTTCAATGCATTATATCAGTAGTTTCGTAATGTCTATTTGCTGTTTCTGGTAAGTCAGCTCTGACATCTTCCTTAATGTTATGTCTGCCAGATTCTCCACTGTAAAGCTACCATTTTCCCTTTGTAATTTACAAGTGTCTTATGGGAGCATTGAGGGTATTTAAGTATCCTGTTTCTCGCCAAACTTTTACCCACATTGTAGCCAGTATATTCATTCTTCCTTGAATCAGTTATTACTACCATGTTGGTCAATTGATGATTTTTCTAATTCCATCATTCATTCTTAATTGATTAGTTGATATTCTATTATTAAAAAGAGCATCTGCTTCTTCTCCATTTATATATTAATTAAATTGTAGCAGGATTGATTCATGGATTCATATTCTATTCAATAGTGTTTAATAGGTTCTAATCTGTAATCATAATTTTGACATTCATATGGTCTCAATTTCTCTCCCTTTTCACATTTTTCATTTTCCTGCTTCCCTTGTCCCCTTGGTTTCCTATTCCCAGCCTCCCAGCCCCATCTCTTTTCCCTGTCCTGGTCCTAAGCCCATCCTTTTCCTTTATTCACTAGATGGTCCAAAATGCATGCAGTTTCTCTTCCAGCCAGTCTCCTCATTTCCTGGGACTGCATCTGCCACTGGAGCAAATCTGCTACTTTCTAAAGGTGATCTAATCGTAAAGATGCCAACTGCAGTTAAGTGTCTCAATATTTCCAAGGGTTTATAACTCGGCTATAAAAATTCACTTTAGGCTACAGCTTGATGTATAATTTCTCAGCCCAGGAGTGAATTTCTTTAACCATTCCCTTTAATTCAACACTACTTGATTCAATGTATCTTTCATGCTCTAATAATATATGTTCATGAGTTGTTACCATGTCAATACAAATCATGTCCCTTGCTAAAGTAATTACTGAGGGTAAATATGAAAAAAGTTAGAATTTCACTGATTCGGAGTTTGTGAAAAGAAAATAGTATTGATCTTTTATGTTACCCTCTCTTCTATTCCTCCTTCTACTGGTAAATCTTCCATCTATGAATCCAGAAAGTTTTCTTATACTCAAAATAAATATATTATGGCATTTGTAGGATCCTGGCTTCTTTGCAGGGGGTTGTGTCTAATTTTTGTTTCACGATCTGGGTTCAAATTAAGGTACATCATTTGACTAAAGGATTGACTGGATATTCTATATCTTGATAACCAGAATTTGTAGAACTGAAGTATTTAGAAATATTAGTTGTAGGAGGCTGGGCAACTAGCTGTGCAGCTATAGACAAATTGTAGGAAGGGAAACGTGACATGATAGAGAAAGGGTTGAATTTGAAAGCAGATTTGTATTCCAAGTCTGGCCCCCTCCAGCCACTGACAATATGAATCCAGTCACCTCAGTTTTTCTCTGACTCATTTTCCTCATCTGTAAAAATAAACAGTTTTGGGCCGGGCGCAGTGGCTCATGCCCGTAATCCCAGCACTTTGGGAGGCCGAGGCAGGTGGATCGCGTGGTCAAGAGATCGAGACCATCCTGGCCAACATGGTGAAACCCCGTCTCTACTAAAAATACAAAAAAAATAGCTGAGCGTGGTCGCGTGTGCCTGTAGTCCCAGCTACTGGGGAGGCTGAGGCAGGAGAATTGCTTGAACCCGGGAGGCTGAGGTTGCAGTGAGCCGAGGTTGCACCACTGTACTCCAGCCTGGCGCCTGGTGACGGAGTGAGACTCTGTCTCAAAATAATAATAAATAAAAAAATAAAAATAAATAAACAGTTCTGGGCATAATGACCCATAAAGTCCCTTCTAACTCTAATGCAGCTCTATAATCCTTCAGCTCCCCAAAACAATTGCTCCACTATTTGGTTTTAATATGACAAAGCAACTCTAACCTGGGATTGGGAATAGCGAATAGAATAGGACTGGAGTTGTTGCTGTCAGAACAGTAGATTTAGTCAAGTCAGGAAAGGAAAAAAAAAGAAAAAGGAAAACAACTAGAAAAATTCAGTGGGAAAAGTTTGCTGATTTGCCTAGTAGTTTGTTTAAACTCTTTTAATTCATTTGATCAAAGTGGTCTCCTGTGTATATCCAGTCTCAAAGGGCGGCAGAGGTAGAACATCTTTGAAATTGACTGTACATACTTTCTCTCTTTCTAGTCCTTTATTACCATATGTACAGAAGGAAGAATGCTTTCCTGGATAGAGGAAAGTATTGAGGAATCTTAAATACAGAATCAACCATTGAACCTAGTTGAGTGCCTTAGACTTAATGAGCACTACAAAGCCAGCTATTGAAGAGAATCACACTGAATCTATACAGAGTCTTTCTAGTTCTTTGACAGTTTCTTTATGTTTCTGTTAATTACTTCTCTTTATTGTTCTATGTCTTTAAACAAAAGATAGTTTCAAGCATTATCACTGTTCTTATCCTCTTTTTTTTTTTTTTTTTTTTTTTTTTTTTTTTTTT